ACCTAAAGAAAAAAACTCTCAAAAAAAAAAAAAAAAAAAAAAAAAAACTTCACACATGCACAGGTAAATTTCTGCATGGCCCTTATTCATGTAACCACAGTAAACCCAGACGACACATACGCGTACCCTTGAAGACCCTCCCCACACACAGCTCTCACATTATTTGACTACGTCTATACTGGTCTCTGATTCTGCTTTCTCAGTTTTCTGTTTCTTTTTCTCTGACATCTTAATGACAGAATTCATATAAAATGGCAGGGTCTGAAGCTTATGAAGTAGCACAATTTTCTTTTTAATTTGCCAGTGGGTTCTTGTGCACTCGTCAGTGAGAAATCATACCCCCATGGGGAGTGATCATGCTACAATCCCTTCTCTTCCATGTCTTCCTCCTTTATGGATTTTGGGCATGTACATACATGTGCCCAGTGTATTTTTCAAGCCACTGGGTCTGGGACTTGAACCATACAGTCATCTATATGGGATCTAGTCACCTTAACCACCATACCATCAACTGGCCCAAAGTAGCACAATTTTGAGGTAGGATCTGTCATACTAACATTTATCTTCAAAACAACAGATCTCACCTACCTTCCCTCTTCCATGTTTCTCCCAGGAACAAGTGGGCGGGGCTCCAGTGTGGGATGGTTGAGTGGAGCCTGAGTTAGGCCACTTTGTTTAGTCACTCAAAGCCTGTGAACTGTAGACTTTCATGACCAGGAAGTGAATCTTCCTACTCATTCAGCAGAAGACCAGCCCCTCCCCGGTTAGGAGAGTGCAGAGACGTTGGCCATAGTCACTCAATCTGGCACCCTCTCTGCCATGATTGCATTGGTGATTACTTTTAGGTTATTTCCAATACCCTACCTCCTCCCCAGAGCCAGTGTTTTGTTTGTTAGTTAGTTTTTTATATTTCCCCCTTTTAAAACCTGCTCTCAGGTGTAGCAGTAATGCAGCTGGACCCACATGGGAAAGGTCCTGGGTTCATGTCCTGGGACCTCCCTGAGTATAGCAGGCATGCTCATATGCACTTGATCCAGGCTGACTGAGACTGGGCATGAATCACTCCATAAAGGCCCTGTTGTGGGTTCCTCTCTCTGGTTCTCTCTCTCTTGCTCTCTCAGAAGACATAAACAAACTTTAAAAAAAAGATATCTGCTCTCAAGTAAGGATGTGGAGCTCTTTTAAGAAATAAAATCACAAAATTGAAGAAGAAAGGGGACAGTGGAGACAGCACAATGTGGTAGGAAAGGCCCGGGGAGTCGAGGATGTGTGCAGGTTTGTTAGAAGCAGGCATAGCAGGAGGCCCAAGTCCACGTCAGGGGCAGAGCTGGTCACTTCCTGGAGAAGCCAAGTGGAGGCGCCATCCTTCACCTTCAGGAGAACCATCCTGGCCTCCCTCACCAGCCGAGTGGCATGACTATCTGAGCAGCCTCTAAGAGAGATTTGGGGATAGAAATTTCAAGCGACCACTATTTAAAGGGCTACTACCGTGAGTGTCAGAGGTCCTGGGTTCATGTCCTGGGACCTCCCTGAGTATAGCAGGCATGCTCATATGCACTTGATCCAGGCTGACTGAGACTGGGCATGAATCACTCCATAAAGGCCCTGTTGTGGGTTCCTCTCTCTGGTTCTCTCTCTCTTGCTCTCTCAGAAGACATAAACAAACTTTAAAAAAAAGATATCTGCTCTCAAGTAAGGATGTGGAGCTCTTTTAAGAAATAAAATCACAAAATTGAAGAAGAAAGGGGACAGTGGAGACAGCACAATGTGGTAGGAAAGGCCCGGGGAGTCGAGGATGTGTGCAGGTTTGTTAGAAGCAGGCATAGCAGGAGGCCCAAGTCCACGTCAGGGGCAGAGCTGGTCACTTCCTGGAGAAGCCAAGTGGAGGCGCCATCCTTCACCTTCAGGAGAACCATCCTGGCCTCCCTCACCAGCCGAGTGGCATGACTATCTGAGCAGCCTCTAAGAGAGATTTGGGGATAGAAATTTCAAGCGACCACTATTTAAAGGGCTACTACCGTGAGTGTCAGGGAGATAACGGGCTGAGGTGCGAAGGAGAGACTACGTCTTTGAGTCTCAGAGTTTACAACAGTAGGCTTTGTACTCCTGGGCGGCTAAGAGAGGGGGCACCTTCAGCACCTGAGGGAGCCTGCTGGCAGAAGGCTCTAGGAAGCGTCCAAAACAAGGGTGGGCAATTTACACACTTCCCTTCTGTTCCCAGAATCTTAAAAACTAGATGAAAGGAAAAAGATTAGCCTGATTGGAGACAGTCAGATAGCACAGGTGTTAAAGAGAGATTGGAACTTTATTGAGACTTTCTCCCTGATGAAATCAGAATTGACAGAACACTGGAAAGGTTCAGCAACTGTTAAGGCACAAACACAGATACTTCTCTTCGGGAAATCTCTGGCTCCTCAGTTCCCCCAATTCCCAACCCCTTTTTCCCCAAAGGCAGAATTCTACTTAGAATCCACCTCCACAGAACTGGGCAAAACCAGGCACTTAAAAATCTTGCTCACTGATTGACTGACAGGCCCGTGGGTGGCAGAGAAAAGGTAAGTTAAAGGGTAAGAAGAGGAACAGCATTGAGAGAAGATACAAAGAAAGAAAAATAGATGGGGGAAATGTCCACAGGGGAGGGCACACTGATAATTAGTCTTCGTGAAAATATAAATATATGAACTTACTAGCCTCATTCCACCACTTCCCCCAAAGTGATGATGACAGTCACTCTGACAATGCCCAGTTGTACATTATTTAGCTCTGAATGTACTGAGAGAACAGCTCCACCAAAAGCTGCTCATGGACATTAAGGACCATCAAGGAGAAAGGTGGGGGACAGACTCCCAAGAGAACAAATGATACAGAGGGAAGGCCAGCGTTCTCCGTTTCGTTTGGTTTTAAGGAGAAGAGTCCAGGAGAGACCCCAGCTCTTTAGCTCCTGCTCACCAGGCTCCTTGCATGCTCATTACAGAACTCATTTTTCTTTCCTGGCTAACTATTTCTTTAGAAATGGAAGATTTTGGAGCCTCAGGTTTTCTTTCAAGCAGCAGTCTGTGTTGCAGCATGCACCAGACTGCTACTAATCCTGAACACCAGGGAGAATCCCTAAATCACAGTCCTCACGTGGACCTAATCTGATTGCTATTTTGCTTACATGACCTAATCCTTGGAGCACCTCTTGCTCTACTTTTCACTTTCCTTCTGGTCCAGGATGACTTCCAAACGCTGCTGAATCCTGCCTCGTGCCTCATAGCTAAGGCCCCCAGGACAGCTTGCTCCCAAGATAAACTGCTGGCTGTGCTGAAAGATCTTGAGGCAGCCCAGGGCCAGTCTCCTGGGTGGGCACAGGCTATTCACCACGCACATGTCATCCAAAGGCTGCTTCTCCCGCCCCCAGCCCTGCCTCTCCTCCCCACCTCCTCCGAGGTGACAGTGAGTCTGGCCATGTGGGACTCTGCCAACGAGCTTTCTCCATGCCCTCACATCTCTGCCATCTCCCTAATCTCTCTCTTGGACAACATACACACATAGTCACACTCACTGGTATTTGGAGGCCTGGCTTCTCCATGGTGTGGTCAGTGGACATCTGCACTTAGCTCAGGTGGGAAGCTGAATGCTAAGCTTTAGTTGCCACCGACACGTTATTTGAGTTTTAAGTGTTGGTGTGTCAGGGAATGGAGAAGAAGAAAAGGAAAAGCCAGGGAGATGGAAACCAGGAAGGAACAATTTCTCTGCTGAGTGTTCCCACAGATCAGTCATGGGAATGGCCTCTTCTTCAATTTGGGAGAGGCTGGCTGAACAGAGAAGACCCTCACGAAAAGAGCAAGGTCTCCATTGTCCTCTCTGAAACCCAATGCCTTTGGGATCTGAGTTTTCCAAGACATGCAATAGACAAAGACACACTGCAAACCAATTAACCCTCTGAGCCCTTCCAGTACCTTCACTTCAGTCACCTCCGAGAGGTAAATTACCTGAATACTTGACCACTCACCCTTCTCTTGGGACTGATAAAGGGACTGAGCTCCCAGCTGGCTTAGAAGACAACATCAGAGAAATGGCACGGGGAAGGCAGACTCTCATCCTAACCTGGGAACTCTTGGTCTCTCTTCATTGTCTGGTGTCCTGAGCCACTGCCCCACCCCTTGAGGAAACAGGAAAGAGGTCCTGGGGAGGGGCTCAAAACCCAGGTAGATTCAGACCCAAGAGACTGTCCACTGTTGAAAGCCAACCCCAGCTCAGGAGGCGGCCGAGGGCTGGGGAACAAACAGAGGACTGTGTGTGTGGAAAGAAGCCAAATGGACCTGAGGAGCTCTCTCCCAGGTCTTCGCTATCTTCCCAGCTACAGAGGAAAGGGATTTCAGCTGCTTCGAGCTTATTTGACCCTCAGTGATTTAGAATAGCTAGAATTTAGCTGCTTTCTGTCCCTTCAAGACAGGACTCAGGAAAAGCAGGTGGAGCCTGACTTGCTCAGTCAGGTCTCCTCACCAAAGCAACAAGACAAGCACACTATAATTCACAGTTTCCACTCTTCTCCCTAGGCCACGCACCTTCCCCCACCATGGGCTTCGATGGACTCCCCGGTCTCCAACGAGTAACAACTCTTGCCAGTGCGGTTCAAAGGGTTAATAAACCAGGACTTCTCAGACAGTTAGGACACAAGCTCATTCACCAACAGGAACCCAAGAAGGGCTACGTGACAATCTAGTGCTTCCTGTAGCGATTCTTCGGGGTTTCGCCACACCCTGTTTTGTCACAGTTGGGAGCACCTGGATTCTTCCCAAGCCCAAGGCTACCCAGGAGGCTGGGGAGCTCCTGGGTAATGGCCCGCTCAATCTTCTCCAGAAAGCAGCCTCCCATGTAGGAGCACTGCTGAGAGAGAAGTTTGAAACTGGAAATGGGATTGATGCCAAAGAAGTCCTTATAGGCCTCGCGATTGGGAAGGTCAAACTTGCTGACATTGGTCTTTGCCAGGATGGTTTTAAAGATGTAAAATTTATCAGGATCTTCCACAATGTCCTTAAAGACCAATTCTCCATCGCTGAAGAAGGTCATTTTGTCCTTGTAAGTCTGCAGATAGCGGTCAACCAGCAGGGCGTGTATGCGGACACGGATGGCATGCTGGCGGATGAAGGCGATCTTGTTCTCCAGCCTGTTCTCGATCACCTGATTCAGGTCTTCTAGGAGGGAGATCTCTTCTTTGAGGAACAGTTCTCGGTGTGTATCAGGCTTATAGTCTTGTGGCCAGAAAGAGCTGACATAAACCCTTGGAGGCTCTGTGACATTGATGAGAGGTGCCAGGCTCCAGAAAAGTGCCCCATAAACCCGCATGAGCATCTGTGTGGCCAGGTTGTCAGCCTTGTTCAGGATGATCCTTATTTGGGATTCTCGTCCCTTCAGTTGGCGGAAGAGCATCTCCAACTCCAGACCCACATCCAGTTTGGTTGGGTCAAAGACAACAAAGATGAGGTCGGCTCTGTCAATGAACCACTGGCATACGTCATTGAAGGGGTAGCCTGGGGAGACAGGTGTGAGAAGTAAGTAGAGCAGGACTTACCCAAGGTCCCCCAGACCTCCTCTCAGAACCAAACCATTCCATGTTGAAGGAAGCAACCGCACTAGGGCGTTCCTGGGTTTCTAAAGACTATTAAGAATTCATTGCATCTTGGGGCCAGCAGGTGGCATGGGATTAAGGATGCTGGATCCCATATGGCTGACAGTGCCGGATCTGGTGGCTTGCTTTCTCATTTTCCCTCTTTCTCTCTCTCTCTCTTACCTTCTCTGGTCACAATAAATAAATAAATATATAAATAAATAAAATAAAGTTAAAAAAGAATTCAAAAAAAATAATAATAATTAATTGCATCTTTGGGCCAGCAGATGGCATAATGGTTATGTCTCTGGACTCCCACGCAGTCAACCCAGTTCAAGTCACAGATGAACCTGGCCATTTAAACTCATGCCAGGCACATGTGTGTGTGTGCCCAAAATTCCAAGAGAAGAAGGGAGGAAAAGTCATTCCAGCACAGCCATCCACCTGGGAGGTGATTTCTTGCTTTCTGTCTCTCTGGCGACAGATTTGCCCTATAGCAAAAATCTCTCTCTTAAAAAAAAAAAAAAAAAAAAAAGAATTAATTACATCTGTCATGCCCTTTTTCAATTTCCAATCAAGAATAGTCTGATCCTTGCTTTGATCTACAGGGGCATCCAAGTTTCCAGCAAAGTAAAATACATGTTCAAATGAAGATTCTCCCCGTCTAGGGAGGTCTGGGGCAGTGACAAGGACATTGGAGGAACAACGTCAAGGAATGGGAAGAACATAAAAGAAAGGACACATATTTAGGGGAAAGAAATATGCCTGTTGCCAAGATTTGGACTAGAATTTGGGCTTTGCCACTGGCCAGCTAACTATCAAATGCTTCTAAGCCCTAGATTTTAGCTACAAAACAAGAAGAACAATAATGCATAAGCCGATACAAAGCTTGCTATGTTGCTATAAATATAGGCAATCTCCTTACTAAAACTACCGGTCATATAGTAGGGGCCCAGTATATATTTAAAATTATTTCTTCATTTAATTTTATTTGTTAATATTTTTTTTTTTAATTTGACCAAAGAGACAGAGAGAAAGAGCAAGAGAAGGGGAAAGTGAGAAAGCAAGCGGCCAGGTCCAGGACTTGAACTGCTGTTGGCCATGTCAGAGTCCAACACCTTAACCACCACACCACCTACTGGCCCCTTCAATAATTATTTAATTTTATCTATTAATTTATTATTATTATTATTATTATTATTTAATTCACCAGAGATAGAGAAAGAGAGAGAGAAGGAAAGTGAGAAAGCAAGCTGCCAGGCCTGGGACTTGAACTGTAGTCAGCCATGTGGGAGTATCCAGCTCCTTAACCACCACGTCATCTGCTGGCCCTGCTTGGTGCCCAATATATTTTAATTCCTTTAACTTACTTCCTCAGTTTTTTAGTTGGAAAAATTGAAGAAATAAAGAATTCCTGTTTTGAAAACATTGAAGTTCTTTTTCCAATTATCTACCAATAATGCATAGAAATATTCGATGTATGACAGAGTATAATAAGGTTTATTTACATTATAATTATTAATGTTAATATTTACTAATAAAGTAGGATCTATGAGCTGGCCCCATAGCACACTAGGTTAAGCTCTGTTCATTGGGAGCTGGATCCCACATGGCTGACCCCAGTTCAAGTCCTGACCCTAGTAACTTGAAAAACAACTGGGTCCATGTGCGTGCATGCTCCAAATCCTAACAGGATGGAGGAAAGGAAGAAAGAGGATTGCAGTGTGACCACAACCTTTGGAGGGTTCTCTCTCTCACACATGCATCCCCTGGTGACTAAAATAGTAATAAATGAAAGAATGAATGAGTAAAAGATTGTTTTTAAAAACTGTATAAAAAAGGGGGCCAGCAGGTAACATGGTGGTTAAGTGAACCAAACTCCCACATAGTCAACCATGGTTCAAATCCTGGACCTGGAAGCTTGCTTTTGCACCTTCTCTCTCTCTCTCTGTGTCTGTTTCTCTCTGGCCAAATTAAAATAATAATAATAATGAATGAAATTAAATAATTCTTTTTAAAAAATAGGGGCTGGCAGGTGGAGTGATGGTTAAGGGCACTGAACTCCCACATAGCTGACCTCAGTTTGAGTCCTGGACCTAGCGGCTGGCTTTCTCATTTTCTCTCTCTCCCATCAAATTTAAATAAATAACTAAATAAAGTTAAATAAAATAATCCTTTAAAAATAAATAAATAAAAATAAAATCTTGGGCCAGCTAGTAGTGGCATGGTGGTTGGGGCAGTTGGATCCCACATGGCCAACTGAACAATATCAATCCTGGATACTGGGCACATGGGCATGCATCCCCAGAATCTGGAGAGGAGAAAGGATTGCAATGTGGCCATCCCCACTGACATGCTTTCTCTTTCTTTCTCTCCCCAGCAAATGTATATGCCCTATAGCAAATTAAAAAAAAAAAAATTAAAACAGGACCACCAGGTGGCAAGGTGGTTAAGGCACTGGACTCCCACATGGCTGACCATGGTTTAAGCCCCAGACCAGGTGGCTTAAAAATCACGCCAGTCTTGTGTGCATGTGTGCCCAATATCCCGAGAGAAGAATGGAAGAGAAGGGATTGCAGCATGGCCACCTGCCCTGGGGGGTGATTTCTCACTTTCTCTCTCTCTGTCTCTGTCTCTTTCCAGCAAGTGCATGTGCATTATGGCAAAAACCTAAAAAAATTTAAAAAAATAAAAAAACTAAAATAAATAATAAACCAAACTTAAAACAACAACAAAGCCTAGTTATAACGAAATAGGAATTATAACCATAGTCTGAGATCCACCATCTGGTAACATATCCCTCTGTCTGCCCAGTTTAGGGCTCATCTCTGCAGCTAGCTTGTGTCATGGCAGAACTCAGTGGCCCATGTCATAGCCCCATGCCTGCCAGGCTCACAGTGGCATTTCCCTGCCACTTGAAGACAATAGGCTTTAGAAATCCTGCTTATGTCGAAGCAGGCCTGTCAAAACAGAAACTGGGAACTAGAGGAACTAAAGATGAGTTTCAATCCAAAGCAAGTGTGGGAGCCCAAGATCCAACTTAGTCAGAGGTCAAACATAGCTGGACTGTGATCCAGTTAGTCCAGGCCCTGGACCATCCAGGATGGGCCTCCCAAAGACCACTTAGCCTCAGCATGGACCTCTAGGAGCCACTAGTAGAGAAGACTGGCCCTTGCCCGTCTCCAAACCAGATCAGTCCTGGGGAGGAGAGGACAAGGCACTCCAAAACCCACATGGCCCCACAGTGACAAGAAGGGAGTAAAAGTAAAAAGTTAGTCTCCTGGTCCTGAACATCGGCCATGTTTCCTCTCCCCTGTGTGCCTACCACCCTCTGTCAAAAATAGTTCCCTAAGACAGCTCCTGCATTTGGAACTGCGTGCTAAGTCACCTCTTTCTTGCTGCTTGCGATTTTCAATGATGCCTGGTGTATCCACGAAAGTAACCCGTTCCAGAAGTTTGTGGGGAACCTCGATGCCAATCAGCTTCTCCAGGAAATTCTGGCCAAATTTCTCCAGGGGCGAGAAGGACCGGGCACTGTCAGCAGCCATGACGATGCCCTCTATGGTCTTCAGCTTGGGCCCGTGCATGAGGACCGTGAACTCGGAGGTGGTGGGCTCCGCACCTGTGTGCACAGGGAGAGGTCAGCAGTGCCATGACCTCTAGGAAACACCTACTGCAAAGTATGTGGAGAAGCAAGGTGGCCGTGGGGAGGGTAAGTTTGTTAAACTAGTGGCTTCTTTTTTTAATTGTGGTGAGCTATATATAACATAAAATTAACCATTATAACCACCTTGAAGTGTACAGTTAGCTCAGTGGCATGAAGCACATTCACCAGTAATGAATCCATTGCCACCACCCATCTCCAGAACTTTCTCACCTTCCCAAACTAAAACTCTGACCCCATTAACTTCTTGTTCCCTCTTCCCCTCAGACCCTGGCAACCACCATTCTACTGTCTACCTCCATGAATTTGCCTGCCTAGGTGCCTCACGTAAGCAGAATCGTACGGTATTGTCCTGTGTGTCTGGAGTATGTTCCTTAGCATAATGTCTTCAAGGCTCACAGATCTTGTAGCATATACCAGAATCGCATTCCTTCTTAAGGCTGAGTAACATTTCATTGCATGGATGGACCACATTCAGGTCATCCATTCATCCACAGTGGACACCGGGTCGTTTACACTTTCTGGCTGCTGTGAATAATGCTGCTATGAACATTGGTGTAGATGCCAGTTTCTTGTACATACTTTCCATGATCACACTGAACACACATGTACATGGTTTCATTGTTCATAGTGCTTTTACATATAACCTTCAAACACCAACAATCACACAAGGAAATCTATTACCTGTATAGAGCTGGTAGCGAGTGTTTTCCAACCCAAGGAGGTAGTTTATCATGGTGGATTTACCAACGCTCCACGGTCCCAGAAACAGCACCATTGGCTTGGAAGTAATCTCTCCATCTGTGGGCAACAGGAAGTAGAGATGGGAGTGAGCTAACAGAGAGAGGTTCTTCCGATAGGAGTGAGCATTTTCTAAAGCACTCTTCCTTCCAGGTGGTCCATCCAATGAAGTTGTGGGAGTGGAGTCTACATGGATCTGCCAGCGTACAGCAATCTGTGGCACTTGTCCTGCTTCATAAGTGCCATCACCCAGTGAAGATGTCAGAGGCACAACTGTGGCAGCACATAGGTAGCACCATCACTTGTGAGGCTGAAGACCACATGGGAGACCCGAGTCTGCTTCTTGGGCTGCCCTGAACACACTAAGCACGACTGCATGTGCCTGTGATACCAGCTAGCTGGGAGGCTCAGGCAGGAGGACACAACAGTAGAGCCCTGTCGAAAATGCCCACCTTTGTCTCTCTGCCCCTCCCCTGGCCCCCCCTTCTCTCGTAAAAAGGGGGGTCGGGGGAGGGAAGACACTCGAAGTCACTGTTTCACTGTTCTGGCCTTGTCCAGATCCTCAGCCTATCTGCCTTCCCTAGTAGGAGGACCTAAGTGAACTCAACAAACAGATTCAGCTCATTCTGGGTGAGGTCACTTGGTTAAGTCTAAAGGAGAATAGCTCGGAAAGGGGGGAGGGCAGAGCTTCCACATGGAGGGAAGTCAAAACTCTGTATCTGGGTTGATAACAGAGGAGGAGAATACGGGAGAAACTTATATAGTGTTGGTGGTCTGGACTCAACCCCAGCCTTCCGCACGGCCCCAGCATGACTGGATATTACGCTCTGCAGGATGTAGAGCCGCTGCACCTCTGTGGCTGGGCCTGCACCTTGCTTTTTGATGCCCGTCTCATTTGTTTGTTTAAGTGAAACAGGCACATGAATACTGCCTGGAAGCAACACCATGATTCAGCCCCACCCTTCGCTGCCTGTTAATACATGGGAGAGGAGACACACCTCTGTGGGTGTCAACCTTGGCTTGGGGTAAAGGAAAGAGTAGGCAGGCTGAGGGGTGGTTCGAGTCCCCATTTACAGACACAGAGAAGTCTCTTTACATAAACCCAGTTGCCACCAAGGAGAACACTGGACCTTGAGTTCTCCCAGATCAACCACAGGTAGGGCTTTCCAGAGGCTGCTATTTCAGCTCTCTCCAGCAGGGGGCATCACTGGCATGAGCGAAGGAAAGAAAGACAGGAGACAGATGAGAGACTCAAGGCTAGAGCCAAGGCCAGAAAGCGAGATCAGATGCCAGGAACTCGTCCCTCCAGAGCACTGTTACCCCGGCCTCTGCCCTGCAGCACTGTTACACCCCCAACCTTTGCCCTGCAGCACTGTTACCTGCTGCTGATGTCCAGGCAGGAGGCTCCTTGGGAGCTGAGCCATTTGGTCCCAGGGCCAGGAGAGGCCGGCATGTGGGGACAGAGGAAAGCACTAGGAGACCTGGTCATGCCAGGGCCGCCTGTGCTCTTTGACAGGGAGAGTAATCAGCTCTCAGGTTTGTAAGAAACAGCGTGTGGTTGTGGAACGTGGCTCTCCCTCCCACAAGAACTAGAAAGTCCCAACTCCTGACCCCAGCTGTGTGACGAGGCTGGCCCAGCCCTTCTCTGGGCACCAGGTCTCTCGTCTGCAGAGCAGGAAGGGCAGCAGCCATCGAGGCAATCCGATGAGATGGTACAGAGAGGAAGAGATTTGTAATAGCACTCACAATTAAAACAGTAAGATGCTATCATCTGGGGTTTTTTTAATTGCCAGAGTATGCATGCCCTCACCAGAGAGAAAGATGGAGAAACAGAGAAAGAGACAGGGAGAGGGAGAAAGTACCCCTCAGTGGGGTGCCCCTCTCCTCCATTTCTCCATCTTGCCAGGATTTGGGGCACACTCACAGGCCTGCTGTGTTTTTCAAGGCGCTGGGGTTAAAAATTAAACCACGGTCAGCCATGTGGGACCCAGCTCCCTTTAACCACTAGGCTGCAGGGCTTGCTCAAGACGTCTTGTTTAAGTTTTAGAAGAATGATATCTTGGGCCAGCCCTGTAGCACAGTGGTAAGCGCCATGCATCAGGAACTGGATCCCACACCGCTGATGGCAGTTCAAGTTCTGACTCTGGCAGTTAAAACATATGTGCGTGTGCCCCAAAAAAGACTAACACAATAGAGAAGTCCTGACAGGATAGGAAAATGGAGGGAAAAGGATTGTGGCATGACCACAATCCACTGGGGGCTAATTCTTTTCTCTCTCTTTTTCTCACAGGCCCTCTGCCAATTAAAAACCTAAATAGTAATTTTTTTAAAAATGACTAACTTAGGGACCAGCAGTTAGCGTAATGGCTATGTCCTGGACTCCCATGTAGTCAAATGTGGTTCGAGTTCCGGACCCGGTGGCTTAAACTCATGCCGGGTGAGTGTGCGCACGTGCCCAAGATCCTGAGAGGAGAATGGAGGAGAAAGGATTATGGCGTGGCCAGCCCCCCTGGGGGGTGATTTCTTGCTGTCTGTGTCTCTGTCTCTGTCTTTCTGGTGAGCGCACATGCCCTATAGCAAAAACCTCTCCAAAAAAAGAAAAAAAAAAATGACTAACTTAAAAACGGCATTGCTGTGGAAGAATGAGAGTTCCCATGTACTCTTATGAACATAAACTGGTCCAACCAAAGGCAATTTGGCAACAACCGTTCAAAATGTTTAATTCCAGTGTTCTGCTTTTAAACTTGCATCCTACAAATATACTTGCATAAAACATATGACAATTATAGTAGTGTTTGGAACAGTTTTTAAAATAGAAAATACCCTGTTGCCCATCAGTAAGGTACTGCTTATACAGAGAACAGGCACCCAGGCAAGAGCCAGCAGAAAGAAGGTAGACTACACACACACACATGCACACACACACACACATGCACACAGACACACACACATGCACATGGACACACATGGAGATGCACACAAACACACACAGAGATGCACAGACACACACACATGCACACAGACACACACACAGATGCACACAGACACACACACAGATGCACAGACACACACAGAGATGCACACAGACACACACACAGATGCACACACACACAGAGATGCACACAGACACACACACAGATGCACTCAGACACACACAGATGCACACACACAGATGCACTCAGACACACACACACAGTTGCACACAGAGGCACACAGACACACACACGGATGCTCACAGACACACACACAGATGCACACAGACACACACACAGACATGCATAGACACACACACAGACATATGTGCATGCACACACACAGTTTGCATAATATAATCCGATTTCTGCAAAATAAAAGACTTTATTTTTAAGGTTTTGCCATAGGGCACATGCGTTCACCAGAGAGAAACAAAGAGAGGGAAAGTGAGAAATCACCCCCAAGGGGTGATGGCCTGGCCACAATTCCTTCTCCTCCAGTCTCCTCGTAGGATTTTTGGCCACATACACACACCCACGTGTTGTGATTTTCAAGCCATTGGGTCCAGGACTCAAACCATGGTCAGCCATGTGGAATTTCAGTTCTTAACCACTACACCACCTATTGGCCCCATATAAAAGACATTTTTTAGCTCACATAAGCAAAGAGAATGTCTGAAAGTATCACAAGAAACTAATGGAGGGGGGGACCAGCAGTTAGCATAATGGCTATGTTGCTGGACTCCCATGTAGTTGACCACGGTTCGAGTCCCGGACCTGGTGGCTTAAACTCACACTGGGCATGTGTGCGTACATGCCCAAAATCCCAAGAAGAAAATGGAGGAGAAGGGATTGCGGCGTGGCCATCCCCCCTGGGAGGTGATTTCTTGCTTTCTGTCTCTCTGTCTCTCTCTGTCTTTCTGGTGAGCACACGCACCCTTATAGCAAAAAACTCTCCAAAAAAAAAAAGAATCTAATGGAGGGTGGCGTCTCTGAGAGTGGAATTAGAGGAGTTAGGAAGCAGAAAGGGAGCTTGTATTTTTCAATTTACACTATTCTGCATTATTACAAAAAACTTCAAAACAAGTATATCTTATTTCTATTATTTTGAAAATCTCTTTTTGCTATAGGGCAAATGCGCTTGCCAGACAGAGAGAGACAGAGAGACAGAAAGCAAGAAATCACCTCCCAGGGGGGATGGCCACGCCGCAATCCCTTCTCCTCCATTCTCCTCTCAGGATCCTGGGCACGCACGCACACGCACCTGGCATGAGTTTCAAGCCACCGGGTCCAGGACGCGAACCATGGTCGACTACATGGGAATCCAGCAACATAGCCATTATACTAACTGCTGGTCCCGAAAACCTCTTTTTAAAAGAATTCTGGCCCAAGGGAAGGCAGCCAGAGAGACAACAGGAGGAGGGGAGGCACCTGGGCCACTTAGAGGACTCAGACCCAATCCATGAGTGAACAGGGAGCTCTGTGGGCCCTTGGGTGCAGGAGGGCTGAAGCCGGCACCACCGCCCTGGTGAGCCAAGCCCATGCTCCACACTTCAGTGCTGAGAACGAGATGCTTTCTGCAGAAGTCTTCCCCAGGACTCAGTGCTCCTCTAGGGGAGGTGATACATGTGACCGACTCAGCCCTGCACAGGCCTCATGACCTGTGTGGGCACCAGGGGAGCCTGGTGAGCAGAGCCCACCCCAGGACCCACCATACCTGTGATCTCATGCTGCCGGAGCTCATTGTACTTGTAAGACTGCTCCAGGGGCTTGATGGACGCGTGGTAGATCTTCCGCAGCCGCTGCAGCACCGCTGAGGGCAGAGGAGCAGGGGAGGGGGGAGCATCAGGCAGGGCGGGCTCAGAGTGAGGAGCTCAGCCCCCTGCACCGTGGAGGGGCCTCGGCCGGGGCTGCCCCTGCCTGCTGCCCCTGCCTGGTGGGCGCCTCTTAGCCACCCCATGTTAGCCTTTGATGAGAAGGCTGGTCTACACCCCAACTCTCCAGAATCCAAACCCAAAGCTGTTTTCCTACTCCCTCACAAAGGCTACTGAGTTATTTTTTAAAAACTGACCCCAGGAGCCAGCAGGTGGCGTGGTGGTTAGGGCACTGGACTCCCACCTGGCCAACCGCAGTTTGAGCCCTAGACCCATGGCTTGAAAATCACACTGGGAAAAAAATAAAGAAAAATAGAAAAAAGAAAAGAAAATCATGCTGGGCATGTGTGTGTGTGGATGCCCAAGGTCTTGAGAGGAAAATAGAGGAGAAACTAGAGGGGTTTGCCCCCTGGGGGGCAGTATTTCTCACTTTCTCTCTGACTCTCTGGCGAGGACACATGGCCAAAAAAAAAAAAAATCCTCTCCACCCTCCCTCCAACAGTGTCCACAATGCTGCCTTGGCCTGCAGCTCCCTGAGCAAAGGCCCTTTCTGGGTGGACATAATTCCTCCTCTTCACCCTCACCCCTCACTGCCCTCAGCTCAGAGATCAGGGCACGAGCTTCCCCAGCCCTCCCCTCCGTGCCTCCCCCAAGTGCTCCTGGGAGAGTGCGGACATCCACTGTGCTCTGAGGAAGAGCAGAACCCCAGGGCCAGCCTGGGAGCCTGCCGGGTGTGAGGCACAGGGGAGGCACAAGGGACCCAGGGTCAGGCGAGCCAGCCTCTCCCCTCGCTCAGCCACTGCCCCGCTGCCCACCTGGGGCAGACCTCTGCCCTCTCTGAGCTCCAAGCAGCTCATCCTTTGAGGGGATGAGCAAGCCCCACTGAAAGCCCTGGGTTATTAGGAGGAGGAAATACCGGCATGAGGGGGCTTTACGAACTAAACATCAGAGCAAGTGGGAAGAGCTCTTACTAACAGTCACATCCACCGGCCCCCGCCACAGCAGGCGGCAGCACAACGCTTTGCCCTCTGCCCCTTCTTTGCCTCCCGGAATTTGTTCTTCTATGGTTGTGCAGTCTGGAGACCCCGCCTAGCGCCAGATCACAGAGCCTCCTCCTCCAAACCACTTCCTTCAGGTTCTCTTCTTCCCTGCAGGCCCTTCCAGGCTCCCCGGGAGCCCCTGTGCCCCTGCTCTCAGGAGCCTGCGAGCTCTCCCAGCCCCAGCCCCAGTCAGTACCGGAGTAATCGTCCGCAGGCTTGTCCTCATCCAGCATCAGGGTCTTCTCAATGTGGGAGCGGTCCCTCATTGGGGCTTCCTCACTCACATCCTCCGCCTCTTCTGCAGAGAGAAGCAGACAGCGGGGTTAGGGCGACCTGAGCCCCCTTGAAGGTGGATGTGGGCTGGACCTCCAGCGGGTGCTGAGCCGTCCTGACCAGCTGAACTGCACTGAGCTCTGCCTTTGGGATGGGATCTGAAAACCCAAACTCAATTTCTATGAAACTCTATGATCCACTTTATTTATTCTACAAGTACTTACTGAGCACCTACTATGTGCCAAACACCTACTACATGCCAAGCACTGAACGTCAGGCTGGGAAGTCGGTGGTACCTCAGACGAGCACAACACCTGCCCTGGGAGAGTTCTGTTGCAGCCCAGCGGGGGAGAGATGATGAGGATCTTGGAAATAATGTAACGATGAGGGGTTAGTGGCTTTAGCAGGGGAAGCAGGAGAGCTCATCCCCAAGGCTCATAGCAGAGTAGGAGTTAGGCAGGCAAAGGTGAAGGAGACTTCTTAGAAGCCCAGGCAGGCTTTAGCAAAAAGCAGGAGGGAGGCTTTGGCCTTTGCCGCAGACCCCAAGCAAGCAGGGGCTGAGGAGGCCAGGCTGACCAGGGCCTGCATGGCCACCACAGCAGTCAGTGCACCTACTGAGGGCCATGAGAACCAGAGAGGGGGCTGAGCAGAACGCAGACTGATCAAATGACCACTGAATCAAGACCATACAAAGGACATCAAAAAGTTCATTGGAAAAGGGAATTCAAATACAAGTTCATTTTGGTGCAATAAAAAAAGTCGAAATCCATATTTTTTCATAATATACACTTGCCATAAACTTTTTGAAGACCACTCTCCCACACCCGCACTGGCCGTGTGTGAAGAAAGGGTCTGGGCTTGGGGAGAAGGTATCAATTTGCTTTTGACCAAGCAAGAGAGACCTGTGCCAGCCGCGGGCTCTCTGAAAGGGGTTTCTCAGTCTCTGGCCGCCTGGGGTTATGGCCATCTCTACCCAGGCTGCCTGTACAGAGGACTTCGGGTGACCTGGAGGGGATGGACTCAGGTCTGTGGATAGAAGTGGGACCAGCATGCCTCCTGGACCACCTCAGGAGATCATCCCGTCAGCCCAGGCCCCAGACCCAGCACAGGGAGGAAGGAGCCTGCCGCCTGCAGCTGCCCCTCCTTTTTGAAGCACCAGAGAGCCTACAATTTAAACTCGGCGGGAAACCTGGGGGGTGGCCATCCTGGAGAGTGAAGGCTTGACCCCAAACCTCTGCCCCGAAGGGCCAGCGTCCGCCAGCCACCACTTGGTGGATCAGCCAAGGGGTGCCAGACCCCCGCCAGCAGCCTGCAGTGACATGGCCCCGCCCTCACCCTGCCCTTCCTGTCCCTGGCCCTCAGGACAGCGGCTAGTGTGTTAGGTGGACATCTAGGGCACCTCGGTCGTCAGAGTCGGCCTAGGTCTCCCACGTGATCCTGACCTACGTTCCCAGTTCTCTGTCCTCCTACAGCGCCATCTTCCATGGGAGGTCACCCCGGGCGGTTCCCAACCCGCCCCAGCACCCTCGGGCTCATCCCTCAGCCAGCCGGCCTCAAACCCTGGTCCCTGAGGCACTGGTCCATATTAAAATGCACCTGAGGACTCTACAGGGGAGGATCCTGAGGCCTGACTCGAGTGACAAAGGTCTCTCCGGACTGTCTCCCTCCATCCCGCCATACTGCATGCAAGCAGCTACCATGCAGCCTGCAGTCACCTCCCTGGGCCAGGACCTTGGGCAGGGCCTCCACCAGGTGAACGGGACCAGCTGGGAGTTCCCTGCCCTGCCCTGCCCCCATCTGTCCCACTAAATAGACTTCAGGGCTGGCACGGCCGCAGCGGCCCGGGCGCCAGCGGCCTTACAGGAAGACTCTGGGTTTGCGCCCACGCACACCCCGAGCGGCCACGGCCTGCCTGTGGTCCTGGTGGCTGCAGGGCTAGGGGAGGATTGTGGCATGAAGACCCGGTCGGGTACCTGCCTCTCTCTCTCATGAAGGAAATGAACAAATACACTTTTACAAACGACTCCTGGGAAGCATGCAGCTGCCCCAGGTTCCGAGTTGCTTTTAAGGAATTCATTCCTACCCTGGGGAGCATCTGTGGGACTCCCAGTCCCCTGGCGTCCCTCCTGGGGCTCCTCCACCTCATCACCCGGGGCCTCGCCACCCTCTGGTTTCAAGTGCTGAGAGCCAAGCGGGACCCTTTTTTCCCCATAGCCTGCAGCCTCTGCTGCTTCCTGGGGCTCCCCAGCCTCCTCCTCGGGGGAGCCCTCTCCTTCTTCTGAACTAGCCCCATCACCGCTGTCTTCTTCAGACTCTTCTTTAGAGGGGACTCCTCCTTCTTCCTCTTCAGAGGAGGCCTCAGCCTCAGTCGCTTCCTCCTCCTCCTCCCCTTCCTTCTCCTCAGGCATCCCTGGTGCCTGGGTCCCTGGGGGCTGATCCTCCTTAGTCCCCTCTGCCTCAGCACTCTGGGCACTCCCAGCCTCTGCACTGGCCTCTTCAGCTGGGCTGGCCTCCCCACTGAGGCTGGCCTCCCCCTGGTCCTCCGCCCCCTCCCTGGCTCCTGGTTGGACATCAGCCTCCAACTCTTCCCCCTCAGATGTGGCGGTGGGGGCTCCATCCAGCACTGCTGGCTCTTGATCGGGCCCTGGGCTGCCTTCGCCTTCCTCCTCCAGGGCGCCAGCCTCCTGGCCTTCTAAGCTGGGAGCAGCCTCCAAGGCCTCGGGCTCTGTTGTCTCAGCTGCTGCTCCCTTAACAGGGCTGTCCCCTGGGACCTCCTTGTCCTCTTCAGGGACCTGGCCACTCTCAGCTGGTCCTCCTGCCTCACCACTGGCAGCCCCCTCTCTGGGGAGCCCATGCCTGGCCTCCTCCTCTCCGGGCCCCTCTCCCAAACTGAGCTCTGGCCTCTCCTCTTCCACAGGCTCCTCGCCCCCTCCTGGAGGAAGGGTGCTTGCTGCTGGTGGGCCCTGCTCTTCCTGCCCAGGCCCCGCAGCATCCCCGGCTGGAGTGGACTCCGCGGCCGAGGCATTGGAGAGGCTGGCTTCCGACTCGGAGCCGGGGCTGGCGGCAGCTGGAGGGACCCCGTCGGCGGTCTTCTCCGAGCTCTCAGCCTCCCTGCCATCTGGGTAGTGGAGGAGCAGATTCTTGTCTCGAGGGGCCGCATCTGCATAAAGCACCCTTTCCTTCTCCTCTAGACTGGCGTCTCCAGCAGAGAAATGATTCTCCAGCAAATTGCCAACATCTTCTGTGCCACCCGAAGCAGAGACTTGCAGTTCTGAATGATTAGAACATGATTGGTCAGTTTCACAGGGTCGGCACTCGCTCTGCTTCTCAAAAGAGTCTACGTCAATCTAGCGCCTGTCTTCCAGGACTGGTGCCGCCTGGTGTGCAGGGCCACTCGCACCTGCCTCCCGGGTTGAGAGCGGGTGTCACTCTCCTCCCTCCCAGGATGCAGCAACCCTGGGCCAGGGAATCAGAGGACTGACTTGATGCGCATCACTAGGGGAGCTGACCTCTGCCCTCACCCTGACCCTGAGTCTCCCTGTGGCTCCTGAGACTGTACAGGATGAACTTGGGGTGGGCCCTTCCAGTCCTTCCTCAACCCTGCTGCCCAGCACGTGCGGCCTGGCTCACTGGGAAGTAGAGCCGAGACAGCAAAAACCTCACACATTCCACCTCGGGCGGTTCCTAGAGTCATTAACCAGCAGGCCTTCATACTGCTATCAGCAAAGGAGTGAAAGCAGGTGTCTGCAGGCCAGAGCCTCTCAGGTTCCACGGCAAAGTACTTAGGGGATTACTTGTGGCTCTCGACCTTATTAAGTCACACATCTAACTCTGTCCCCTTAAGGACAGGCATTCACTGGCCTCGCTATCTTAGATTAGAGAGGACATGGCCTGAGGAGGAGATGTCCAAAACGGGCAGGGCCTGGGCTTCCCGGTGGCCTTAGCCAACCCCTTCTGAGGGGATCCCTTCTAAGGGCCTGCAGGAGAGCTGAGGGCACGGGACGAGCCAAGCAAGAAAGAGCAGAGTCGGGGCCTCGGCTATACCAGGGACCTCTGCCATGGTCAGGTTTAATGTGTTTTTTTGTTTTTTTGTTTTAAATGGAGCGAGAAAAGGGTTGAGCATGTCCTTTTTGCCCCTCGTTCCTGGCTGGGACCTGCTTACGGTGGAGGCTCACCTCAGGGAGGAACCACAGGCTTATGGGGACAAGGACGTGGTAGGCTCCCACCTTGAGGCAGCTAGACAGCCCCTCTCACCCTGACCCTAAAGGCCTCCCTCTGAGGGAGCAGCACCCTACCCTTCTGCTGGCCACAGTCAGCCACAACCACCTCTCCCACCCGCTGCCACATTCCCTGAAAGCTGGGCTGGCCTCCAGGGTTCAGGGATTAGTATTTTCTCATTAGTCCCCACAAACAGCCAACCTAGTATTCAGACTCAGGAGAGTGGGGTGCTTGCTGCATTGGCTCTAAGTGAGCCCTGAATACTGACAGATCAGTGCTGGTCCCCAAGTGCTGCCACGTGTAACTGCATTTAGCCTGTTAGTGCCAGGCAGATTTTACAGCAAGTTACCGAAGGGTTAAAGGTCTTTGACCTGCCCCAGGTACAAGGAGTCTGCTGGCTAAGGGAGCCCAGCATAGTCAACCCTTCATCCAGACTTTCCACACTGTGATGTACGGTGAGCACAGGGGTCCCTTCCCATCGGTGCCTCAGCCCCCTCCCACCTGTGCCTTCTCTCCAGGCTCATGTTCCAGATGGTTCCTGGCTCCTGGATTTCAGGAACCGAGTCTTTACTCTGCATTCCCAAGACCTGGGACCCTGCCTGACCCACAGAAAAGTGCTAGGAGAAGTTCACTGTTGGATCTGGATACCAGTACGAATTCCTGGTCCAAATAAATGAATGAATAAATAAAATTAAATAAATCATTTTTAAAGGCCAGTAGGTGGCATGGTGGTTAAGGCACTGTACATTCCCGCATGACTGACCATGGTTCAAGTCCAAGACCTGATGGTTTGCTTTCTCACTTTCTCTCTCTTTCTCTGTGTCTCTGTCAAATTAAAAATAAATGAATGAATAAGTAAAATAAAATTAATAATTTTTTTTAAATTCCTGGTCCATTAGTGGAGACAGGACAGAGAACCGGATGTTACTCTAAATTTAAATTTTCTTTCATTATCACTTACATCCTAAATCCTGATTCCTTTACCTGCATTTCTATCCACACTGGATTAAAACCTACAGCCGGAACTTGGCTTAACCCAAAGACTGACAGTCCTCTTAAGGAGCAAGATATATAATATGTAACATATGAGATATATATACATTACATTTGTATCATTCTTCAGCATGCAGGAAATGGGCAAGCACTTTATATAGACAACACTAACTTAATCGTATTTGCTTCATCTTATTTGCTTCTGCAAAACAAAGCATTACTCATATTCTCATTTTACAGATAAGGAACTAGAACCAAGGGTGTTGAGGGCCATCTGACTTCAGAGCTGCGAAGGAGACTGCCCAACCTCTGAGTGGGGCTCTACCCCGACATGATGCGTGGTATGGCACCAGCACCCTCAGCCTCACCTGGGAGCTTGTTAGAGATGCCAAACCTCCGGCCCCTTTCAGATCAAACTCTGCCTTTCAGCAAGTATTCAGGACATTAATCTGCATGTTAGTTTGATGGGCTGGTCCACACATACCACCTTCTAAAACTGCCTCTCAACCTTGGTTCTGGCGTTGGCTGCATGACAGAACCACTTGCTTCTGGGTCCTACCCTTCCTACCCCTCCTCAGGGAGTAAAACCAGCATCAGGACTTTAAAAAAAATCTCAGGTAATTCTAACACAAAAACTTGCAAATCACTGCAACTGCTAAACCAAATCATCCTGTCCCTGGGCTTCTGCTCCCTGTCCCCACCCCCACTGGGAAGGGGTCGGCGGGGCTCTCAGGTTGGAATGGGTCTCCCAGAGCCGGGCCTTTGCCCTGGGAACAGCAGTGGTTGTGGTTTCTCCTCTGGGGAGTCTGGCCCTCCCCACTGGCCCCTGTTGCCAGTCAGTGACAATGATGGTGCTGATGACGATGGTGATGACGATGGTGGTGATGACGATGGTGGTGACCATGGCGGTGACGAAGGTGGCAGTGAGGAGACTGAGTTGAACAGACTCTAGGTCTGATCGCCCGTAACTCTTCTGATGTTCTCAAAGACCCTCTGCCCCAGGTAGGGGTGAGAGGGCTTCACAGGCCCAAGGGGGATGAGAACCCCTCATCCTCGGGTTTCCATGACCTTCACGTGCCAGTGCATTTCCACTCCTGGGCCCTAGACAGGAAGTTAAGTGTGTACATGTGTGTATACACACTTACCACACCCTTTCCTGGTTTTCACAACTAAGTGCCAAGCTGATCTGACAAATCAGAGTGAAAGCCGGAGGGTGGCAGCTTCACACCCTGCGGCCTCCTGACAGAAAGCCTCTCGGTGAGATGTGCCGTCCAGCTAAGCCCCCAAGCCGGACCCTGGCAGGCAGTAGCACCATAGGGCCCACCTCTCCTCCAGAGGGACAGAGGCCTGGGAAGCCCCAATTCCTTTCCGTCCAACTCCGTGAATCCAAGGTGGGTGTCTTTCCTGGTGCCCGACCTCCCCAGCTTCCT